TTCGAATTCGCGGCCACACAAACATCAAGTTCACAGAACACGGACTATTGTGAGGCTGTCTCTACTTCTATCATCTCATGACACCTTCCCAGGCACTGAATGCAGCGGAAAGAACTGGTTTTCCCTCTGAGCTGTATGTATGCTCACCTGTACTGAGCATCGAAGACAGTGCACGTGAATGGCTTCATCCAATCACAGTGCAACATCAAGCGCGCTTGCTCCTCTCTTCCCACTCTTCCACTAAACTGGCAAGTGAAATGCAAGAAAAATAGATTGCTCAAACGCGTTGAAAACCGGACCGGTCAACCTGTCAACTTTGACGGAAATCTCACCTAGAACATGTACACGTCTGTGGCACGCCCAAGTCTGAGATACCAGTGAAGCCCAGTTGCGAACACGCCGCCTCAGATCAGCATTCATGGCCTGTCTGGCTCTATGAATTGCGACTTCCCCTTGCCTGACATACTCACGAGCCGCACGATCAGATTGCCACCTGCCATAGACTAGGATGTCAGCCATGGGAGTGCCTTGGCGTGCCAGTTCAGAAGCTCCGGACCGGCGAAAAGTGTGTGTGGTAACCACACACTCGTCTCCTCCCAGGAGCCATGAAAGACGTTTAACCCACCTGAGAGCCGTAGAGTAGCCTATGTTGAAGACCAGGTCTGAATCATGCTTCCGACTATAAGAGATGTACTGCAACAGGAATTGGACCACTGTAGAGTTGCGAAGCAGGACCTTCTGCTCAGTGCCCCTCTTGGTATGCCCGAGGCACAGAACTATCTCATCAACCCCCAAAATTAGATCAGCATACGTGAGTTGCAAAGCCTCACGTACCCGTAGTAGCCCAGCATAACACACCACAATTAAAGCTGCAAGCGGTAAACGATTCAGCAACATTGCAATGCTCACAAGTGCATGAAGAAACTCAGGAGGTGCCGCCGGCGCCTGCCGGACTGGGGCAAATTGTGACCAGGCATCAAACACTTTCCACGCAGTTCGCACGCGCATCCGTGGGAAAAGCTTTTGGACAGCTGAAAGGGCCCAGCCATACTCAGTCTTTGATGCCCCGGATTCGCACCCATCAACCAGCCACTCAGCTAGAAAAAGGTCCTGCTCCTCTTCTGACATGTTAGCCCAATGCCTGTCATGGCGCCGCAGTTCATTGTTGAGGCGCTCGAGTGCCAATGCGTACTTTTTCAGAGTCGCATCTCGCAAGGACCCCAGTAAGAAAGCCTGGACACGGCTCAACCCACCGATAGCTTCCATGGCAGGAATGGCCCCATGGATCTGGAAACGACTCTTTTGAAGCTTTAGGCACGAAGGGCTTTAAATAATGATGAGCTCTTGCCACCACCAACCGATCCACTAACGTCTGGGCAACTGCAAAACAAAAACCCGGTGGGTATTGCGCTGCTGGAGTCGTCCGGAACTGCCCGTGCTCGTCAAGCCCAAGCAGCTGTTTGTGGGATACATGGTGGTTGCACGCAAGACTCAACGAGCGACAACCCTGCGGCTGCAAAAGTCCCGTCGGCTTCCGTGAGATGGCTCCATACATGCACTGGTCCAAATGGGTGTAAAACAGCTTGAACATGGCCATAAAATCCTTGACCTCTGGGGTAGCAAAGAAAGAAGGGTACGGTTCATGTCCCCTGTCAGCAGGGTGCTCCAAGCCTATCCAACCCCCGTCCAATGCAATCTCACCCAACAGCCCCAAAGTGACCAAAAACAATGCACTACCTACGGCTACCGCCAACTGCTCGCGACTGCTGCAATAGGCCAGCGGCTCCCAGGGATTTTTGCGGGACCTCACGGGCCTAGGTCCTGCCAGCTTTCCTGTTGGCCTCCGGCCCTTCATAGGCACGTGTCTGGCGGCTGAGATGGTGCTGCATGGGGGGGAACCAAATCCCCCCACAACTCTGCCACTTCGAATGATTTGCATGATCTTTGTATACCATTCATGTCGCAGCAAATCAGCCCTGTACCCAGTGAACTTCCACCCAACTTCTGCTAGAGGGTCAATAGCTAAACACTGGATATCGACACCATTGTCAGTGCACAACACTTCAACCGCATCCAACAGGTCACCCTTTCGACGAGGCCCCGAGCAGAAGTGGATGGAAAACACTGCATCTTCCCTCCACAGCCCGAGCTCTCTCAAGTCAAAAGGTGGCGTACTCGAAGGCGCATCCTCCTTGCACGCGGTGGGCTCCGGCCCCACTGGCTCGAAGCGCCGAGATGGTTCGTCTGCAGGATTGTCTTTGCTAGGTAACCATGGATACCATACCTCATGACCACCTGCTAAGTTGATTGAAGCCACACGCCGACAACGTATGTTTAGCTGATGTGAACTGGAGCGGCCCTTCGTAAAACAGCCAGCGCATGCTGCAGAGTCGATTGGGTGAACGAAGCGCGCCCCATCATCCCCTGGACGCCTGAGGCGATCTTCAGCTGCCCACGCAATGGCATCAGCCTCCCACAAGGTTATGTGTGTACATCTCCAGGGAGTGCCAATGAACCGCCAACGAATGCGCTCCCTTGGAAGTCTAACTTTCCGCATTGGACATTTGTGCTCCTCTGTAAGTCCTATGCTCCACGGTAGCTTCAGGTTCGTATAAACCTTTGTATGATCGCTGAAACGGGCCATGGCCTGCACCACTGACACCGGCGCTATGCCAAAAGCTCGCCCCAGGCCTGTCATGGATGCGTCCGTGCACTCAACTCTCTGGCTCCAAGGGCTTGACATAGAGAACTGGGCATATGGTATGAGCAATGTTGAGACACAAAATTCAATCCAGACTTCCGCTGGCCAACTCACCCATGCTCGCCTCTCGCATCGAATAGCCGTCAACCAAGGATAAACTGCTTGAAAAATCGACCTCAACACAGGCCGGCAAGAATGGAGGAAACTATGTTTGCCAATCAAGCGATCTGCCACCCCGGCCACAATCTTTGGTCGCATGAGCGCTGTCATGGAAGCCTGATACAATGCTCGACGCTTCTCCATGGCCAGCCCCACCCAATGATCAGTGGGATGAACATAGTAGCCCTGCACCTCTTGACCTAAGCCCAAGTTCACCGTCTTCTTACTGTTTGGCTCAACTCCCCTGAGGCACCATGCATCCTCTGCTCGGCTAAGCCACTCCGGGCCCATGCCTGTGGCAGATTGGTCATGTAGATGGTCCATGCCCCAAATGTCATCTATGATCGACCCCCAGATAGGTAGTTCCGCAGGAATGATCATGTCTGGATGCAAACGGCAGTGCTCAGGTAAGTCAGCATCTTTGGCAACAACGTCAGTGAGCCCCTGGGCCCAACCAGCTGAAGGACCGAAGCCCATGGGAGCTGATTGAGCAGCGGGATACATTAGCCTCTTTCCCCCCTGCCTGCAAGGAAGATCAACTGGAGGTGAACATAGCCATCTGCTCCATCTCCGGCCTATTCGCAAGCGGTGGAAGTAGTGTCTCGCATCCCTTTTTGTGACGGCCACCAACCCTGTGCGAGGAACTGTGACTGATCTCAATGCAGGAATATATGCAAATCTGGGTCGTGGTAATGCTTCTGGGTCCAAGAGCTGATTCACTGCAGGGTCTGTTATTACACGATCCTCACGGTCGTCCTTAACCACCGCAAAAGCCCCAGCCAAAACCATCTTGTCCCCCAAACGAGCAACCTGCCTGGGATGTTTGAGTTTTTGAAGCCCAGCCTTGACGTTCTTCTTAACCAGCTCCGGGTATGAGGGCGCAGTCCAAGTGAATCCTCTCTTGACACGCTTGGGCCTTTGCTTTGGCGGCAGAAGCAGGCACGAAGGATTGAGCACCTGCTTAGCCATCCAAGGGAAGTGCTCCTCAAGGTGACCAGCCAAATCCACATCAGCTGCCTTGTCTGGCACCCCACCCTTCACACCCAGGGCAAGCACCACACCTGAACCGGTGTAGAGCTGTGACTGTCTCATGAAATGATCGAGCCCCTGCGGCCCCATCGTAGGCTCATCTGTCATCACCAGAGCCTTCAATGTCTCCTCCACCCTGGAAAAAACACGTTGGTGAGCAGCCGTGACAATGTTCGGAATAAGATCGCCACGGCCCCCATGCAGCCAGTTCAAGGCCAGAAGAACTAAGTCACCACCTCTCCGAATGGCCTCCCCTCGGTCACCACCAACTGAACCCTTCAAAGTGTACCCAGCTGGCAACGGCGGCAAAGGAAAAACATTGGAGGGAGAGAAACCTTTCACCCGACCATCTGATGGCTGCAGCTTGTTGAATTCATTCATGCACTTGCTACGGCCCTTGTTCCACAGCATGCTACGAAAAAGATCACAGAAACCAAGCGGATCACAACCACCCTTGAGGGCATCACTCAATGCCCCCGCCATCTGGAGGTAGTAAACATCAAAAGGCATCTGAGAACCCAATCGTCCACCCCGTCTGAACCAGGCCTTGCGCAGTCGGCTGCTCAGGAATTCGTCAACGCCAGCATCCCTGAGCTGGCTAGCGACTTTCTGGTGTCGATCAATTCCACCGCCTCCGCTTTTTCCCAAGAGCCTCCCTTCTGCTTCGCCGATTGGATGGCGATGATTCGCTGGCAAATGATATCCAAGGCTCGAGAGATCTCCTTGCGATTCACTGAGTCCAGGATCTCGGCCAGGGTGACAACCTCCTTGAGGTCTCGGACTTCTGTCAGGCCCGAGAATTGGTGGGCCCATGAAGTCACACTCACATCCCGAAGTTGCCCTGTCCTGGTCAATGAACCCTTGCTGAGGCGACTGTAGACACCTGCCAGAAAATGAGCAGTCAAGGCCCCTGGATGCTTGCTGGCAAACGCCAACAAATCGCCTTTGCGCTTGAGCTTGAGGGCATCGACATGGGTCAGATCTGCATACGACACCGACTTGTCCTTCCCATGCTCTCTCCAGCGCAGCGGCTTGCTCTTCTTGTCGTCCGACGAACTCCGTGAGCTTCTGGAGCGGGAGGTGCTCGAACTTGTCGAACTGCTGGAATCCGAACTGCTGCCTGAGTGCTTCCTGGTCTTCTTTCTCTTCTTCTTCTTTGAGCTCTTCTTGGCATGCTTCCGGTCCTTCTTCTTGCTCTTCTTGGTCACCTGTGACTTTCCCCCTGGACTCAGTGCCAATCTCTGCAAATCTCGGACCGCTGCTTCCAAGGCCTGTAAGTCCTGGCCTGTTGCACCTGAAGGACTTTCGCCACCCAGCCCCAGACCGACACCCGCGGGCGGCGCCGCTGCCGCAGCCCCTCCGCCGGCGGCCAGAGGACCAGGCACTCCACCCCCCACATGGGCTATCTCGACCAAGGGCCCTGACGTTCCAGGAATGTTCTGGGTCCAGCCACTCCCCGAAGCATTGTACTGAGCTAAAATCAGGTTGGCTTCCGCTGCAATATTGGGAATCTCTGCTGCCCCAGGGCGCCATTGAGTATTGCCAGCTGGGGGTGTACAAATCCAGTTCACATCCCCATCCACTATGCCCCCCGGCGCACGTCGCTCCCCATGGGCCACCAAAGTAGGGAGCCTCATATTCAATCCATCCACCCTGATCAAAACCCAGATCCATGCGTCTCCGTCCGCATTGGTAGTCTTGCAAATGGCATGACTGTGAGTGTCCGTAAAAGCCCCAATCATCACCTCGTCCCATTCCGGCGGCCGGCTAATCAGCACGAAGGAACCTATGGGAACAGGTGGACCAGCAGCCAAGGCCATACCACTCAAGGTAAAGAAAGCTTCCTGTTCTTGAAGTTCACTGGCCTTGCCCAGCAACCAAAAACACTGACGCACAAGCCACTGGATAGCCAGCGAAACAAGCTCGACCAGTGCAAGCAATCCCCAACCCAATGCGATCAGCGAGCGCAATACGATGCGACCCAATTGGTTGAGCTCAGGCCAAAGGTGCAGTAGCACTATAACACCACTCAACTGAACCAAAGCCCCAAAAGGATCACCAGACCCGGTGGACAAAGAAGGAAACACCAGCCCAGCTCCTCTAGAAACCACAGCCTGGGCAAGAGTCTCTCCCAGCTGGCTTCCGAAAAAGCCTCTCCACCAGGCCCAGGTGCTCACCGAAGCCCCCACCACGAAGGGCGTCAGTGCGCGGTCCATCCAACCGCGGGGTAGCAAGCTTGAGCCAAAAACAACAAGTTGGGGCAACATGTCTGTCAAACAATCGATTCGAATTCGCGGCCACACAAACATCAAGTTCACAGAACACGGA